TTGAAATGACTAATTGTTGAGGATACTTGAGAAGAGGGAATTGTGTTATTCCTTAGATGATGAATTGGAATAACCGTATTTATATTCATCTTGTGTTATTGGCATAACAATTCATTTGATTACATTAAACTTTGAAAGTTGATTTGAAAACTTGCATTGAGAAAAGAATGTTGAGAAACACGTTTTCATGAAATGGTTTTAGGGTAAATACGTTGGTAAGTCTTGATAGGTGGTGTAGATGATATTGCATAAGTTGGCCTGAGAGTCCGGGGTGAAAGACCGAAAACCCGCACGGATAGGTGTCGAGCCTTCCGGTTAATACCGGTAAAAATGACAATTTGGTAGTACTTGTATAGTCTACTTGCAGACATCGACCTAGGGATTACCAGAGTCGTATTTACCGCATTTGAAATAAATTGTTAAGTTTTGAACAATTGAAATTGCATGACATCATTGAGCACGATGGTTTTCAAAAGATGAAAATGTGATTTATCTTCAAAAAAGGGGCATAGCATGGCATGTGCATTTCATCTCTTGAGACATGTATAAAATGTATATACTTTGTTAAGGATTTCCTACTGGGCTTTATGCTCACCCTACGGGATTTTTGTGCAGGAAAAGATGTGGTGATGCCACATAACTAAAGGCGAAGAAATGTGTGTTGAGAGTACAAGACTCTCATGTTGCTATGACTCTTTGGGTAAGCCAAGGGCTGTATGTGTGTGGGTTTGAATAACCGTTTTGTGTAACTAGGCTCAAGCCTTAGAAACTTGTAAACCCTTGAGGGTATTTATTTATTTATTTACTTGTTGTTGGATTAATGTATTGTTGCATGAACAACTATTGTATCATGTAATGTAAGCTTAGAGATTTATATTCAGTTTTCCTTAAAAGAGCCATGATTGTTGTATTATCATTTGGGCTACAAATTTGGGGCGTTACATGAACAATGGAAATTGCATGGCATCATTGAGTATGATGGTTTTCAAAAGATGAATATGTGATTTAGTTATAAAAAGGCATAGCATGGCATATACATTCATCTCTTGAGATTTGTATAAAATATATATACTTTGTGAAGGATTTCCTATTGGGCTTTATGCTCACCCTACGAGAATTTTGTACAGGAAAAGACATGGTGAATCCGCCTAACTGAGAGCGTGGAAAAGTGTGTGTGTTGAGAGCACAAGGTTGTCATTTACTGTGATTCTATTTGTAAGTCAAGGGCTTTATATGTGTGGGTTTGAATAACCGTCATGTGTAACTGGGCTTAAGCCTTGGAAACTTATAAACCCTTTGGGGTATTTATTTATTCATTTACTTGTTGTCGGATTAATGTATTATCGCATGAGGAACTATTTACATTATGAAATGCAAGTGTGGGATTGCATGATTGGTTTTCCTTAAAAAGGGCCATGATTATTGTATTGTGATTTGGGTATGAAAATTGAGGCGCTACAGTAACAATGTCTCTGTCCCTAAAAGCAATAGCTATTCATCCATCTTTTCGAATTGGGGGCATGAACTTGAATTTATCGACGTGGATTAATCCCATTCTATTGCTTTGGTCAGACTGTTAAGTGTAACGAGTATTCAATTACCACATTCCTTTCTAATCTACTCCACATTCTTTCCTCAGGTCGAGCCTCGTACACGCTTCTTGTTCAAAACTGGAATTGATGCTATTACGACCACAATTTTATTCAAGTTAGTCGACATAAAACACAAATGCACTACATAAATATTTAGTAAATAAATTCTAAGTATATGTAAAGGGTCATATATTTCTCACATCACGTCCACTGTTAGTGACAGTAACTGGGCTTGAAAGTTGCGCAGGTTGAGATGCTAAGGTAGGGACCTGATCGAACCTAGTATATGAGGTGTGAAGATGGGTTGGTTGGGCTGACACCCCAGGTGTGCTCTCTAGATGATTAGCTTGTGTTGCTAAAGGTTGTCATGGTAGAGTAAGTGTGTATCTTCATCGGTGGTATTTCTCTCTTCCCAAGGTGTTCATGAAGCTACTAGGCAAGCTATAGACCTACTTTTTTTTCTTACCGGGACCCATATGAATATCCTGTCATAATATAAAAATGAATTATTAGTGTAAAAAAAAAAAAGGAAATAACACAAGTAATATAACAAGTAAAAAAATAGAGAAATGACTTTTTATTAAAGAATACAATAAAATATTATACACATGTATTGCCTCAATAGCTTGAGAATCAAAACACTCGCCATCATCACTTGAAGAACTTAGTCACTCTTCATCCTCAAGCGGTTGATAGTCCTCATCATTGTCACCTTCACCCACCTTTCTCTTTCCCACTCTAGTTCTTTAACTATTGTCCGTTTGAATCGAACCAAACATTGAATGCTTGATGGGCTTTAACCCTAGAGCATCAAATCTAATTTTGTTTTTCCATTTTTTTTTTTTCTTCCTTTCCTTCTCATATTTCATCATCTTCTAGAAACAATTTGTCATCTTTCAACATCTTTGCAACTATATATATGGCATATAATTAAATGAAATGAAGTGTGAAATAGTTATTAACAAATAAGCAATTCATGTGAAAAAATGTGTGCTGTATAGTAGTACTCAATTGTTAAATGTTCTTGGAACATTGCTCCACACTAATCACTAACACAAAAAAGTGATGCACCTAACTGTATTTTATTCAAACTCACCTCATATGTAATTTTTCATGTGGGATAATAAATCTTACAATTTTTTAGACACACCACATATATGTATATTTCCTTTTGTTTCTCCTAAAATCCAACATGTGACTAATTGAAAAAATTGATAGACATATGAATCAAGTGTTTACAATTTCCATAAAAGTAATTTATTATTATTACCAACAGTGGCAGAACAAGAATTACAATGGGATTTTTTAATTTTGAAAATAAAAATTGTAATCATTGTAATTTTTTGTCACTGAAATATTTTATGTGGCAGTTTTTCCTTTGAAAAAAAAAAACATTTTGTTTGTATTTTAATATAGTGTGAATATGTTTAAATAGTTCAGGTTTGACACATCTAAACTTGTGTTGAAATAAAAACTCATTTGGTTTTTAAGAAAAATCATGGGATAAGAAACTAATTTCTTGAATATACAAAAAAAGCCATATTTACCATTTTCTTTTCTTTTAATTTAGGTTCAAAGCAAAAAGTGCTTAGTATTTCAGACTTTAACTAAAACCCTTAGCCAGAGTTGTTTTTTAATTTACTTACATATTGAATTTATAACACAAAACTATAATTATATTTCTAGAAGGAAGCACCACGTGAGCAAAATTTTCTTATCAATCGATATAAGTTATCATATTCAAATTCAAGAATGAGAAATAAACTAGATTCAATATTACAGACATAATTTTGCGCATTTTCAAGTAAGTTGAAAATTCATAATAGAAAAAGGGAAATTTTATAACATACACCTTTAAAACGGTGTGTACCATATGCACCAATTATGTCCGTTGTGGCCTTTGATTATGACTCATTATAATGTTGGTTAACTTAGTTATAATCTGTTGTGATTGTTATTTTGATTATGATCGAAAAGGTCTTTGATAATATGTTGTGTTTAGTTATGACATATTGTGGTATTGGTTATGATTTGATTATGACCTATCGTGATTGTAATTTGGCTAAGACCAAAGAGGCCTTTGGTAGTGCCTCAAAGGTATTTGGTTATGATCCATTACGTTATGACATAAAGTGATTTGATAATAACACTTTTCGGTATGTCCCAACTAACATATGGTACACCCCTTTTTAAAAGAAGCGTATTATAGCATTAACCTATTAAAAAAATATAAGTAAAAATTTATTCTGCAACTTTCTAATAACCAACATTTTTAGCTTCTCAAAAAACAAAAAATTGTCCCTTGACATACATATATATATATATATACATACATATATTGGTGTTTGTTATGTGTAAAACAAGCCTCATAATTAAGGTTATTTTGATTCTATAAAATACCACAAAATCTCATAACCAACATGTATTATTTTCAGTCATCACCAAAAATACCACAAAGTCTCATAAGAATGTTCACTGCTTGATCACTACAAAACTTTATATGTAAACCCTAATGTTGTGTTTAGTTGGGGAATTTGGAGAGAGATTTGAAAAAGAAAAAGATGTGTGAAACTAGATGAAATGTAAGTACATTTTATTCACATTTCACCTAACTTTTCCCTTTCCCTTTCCCTTTCCAAATCCCTCCTCAAATCTTCCAACTAAACACAGCGTAAATGACTTATAATTAGGGTGTATAATACATAGGTGTGTACCATTGAAAAAAAACAAAAAATTTACAAAATTTTCTTAATTAAAATTTATCCTTTAATATTTATAAATGGCATAAGCTAAATTTCTTAATAGCTACGGAGGTTATGTATTAAATGGAAAAAATATATAACATAAAAGTCAATGTAGAAGTGAAAATTTTAAGAGATGTCGGGCTGTTCTTTCTGTCCCAGAATTTTTTGTTCTAGTTCATGACAATCGGGTTAAAGCTCATCACATCCCTTTAAACAACACGATCAATTATCAACCCCATCAAAACACATAACTTTATACAAACAATGTATTCATATCGAGTTAAATTGCTCAAAAATTAATTAAAATAAATAGAGCTGCAGTTTTTTAGGGGTAATGACTTGGGTTAAAATAGGCAGGGTTTTGAAAATGAGTAAAAAAAAAAGATAAGAAATAGAGGCAAAATGAGATAGTGATAGAGAATAAAGACAATAAACTTACATTGGAATAAGGCAATCGACAGAACCGAAAGAATACAACAGCAGAATGCAGCAACAACAATGGAGGAGAGTTTGCGTGTGCGATTGAGAGAGAGACCTATAGGAAACCGTATTGCTACTGTGAGTAGGGGAGAGAGAGAGAGAGAGAGAGAGGCGTAGTTGGGAGGTGGAGGGTTTACACTGATATGTTTCTTTATTTATTTAGCTTATAAAGATTTGGGATTTTCTTCTGTATTTTTTTTTTTTTTTAGAACACATCAAAACGACGTCGTTGCATAATCTTCGTAAGTGACTGACTTTTAGCGACACAAATTTATTTTGTCGCTAAAAGAAAAGCTCTTTATCAACACAGAGTCATTGTCGCCAATACAAGAAGACTAACAACAACACATAATGCGTCGCCAAAACTATATAATCCTCGCTAAAACTAATTCAATTTTGGCGCACATCCCAGCTTTTGGTGCCAAGTGAATGTTTTGGACCTTTAGCGACGAGCAGGAATAACATCGCTAAACGCTAACCTTTACCAACGAAATTGATCCTTGTGTTGGAAAAAATATGGCTTTTACTACGAAAAAATGACCTCGTCGCCAAAAGTGGTCTCCAAATTGCAATTTCTTGTAGTGATGCGAAGGTATCATCATGTACTCAAAATGATTGCATCTGTAAAAAGAAACCAAAAAAAAAAAAAAATCATTTACAATATAATTAATTTCAAACTTACAGAAAATGTAAAATATTGAATATTTATTTCAATAAATAAATAAATACATAAATAAGATTGTAAGATCCAATATCGACATGCGAAAATATCACCTTGTACTCAAAAGGGTTGTATCTGCAAAAAGAAAACCCAAAAAAAAAAATTTATTTACAATATAATTAATTTCAAGCTTACAGAAAACGTAAAACATTTGATATTTATTTCAATAAACAAAAAAAATACATAAATAAGATTGTAAGCTCCAATATCGATATGCGAAAAAGGGTTGTATCTACAAAAAGTGTATCTACAAAAAAAAAAAAAAAAAAAAAAATCATTTACAATATAATTAATTTCAAGCTTACAGAAAATATAAAACATTTGATATTTATTTCAATAAATAAATAAAATAAAATAAAAAAGATTGTAACATATACATGAATCGAGCGCTACACAATGTATCTTCCAACAGCTTCTCCAACTGTTCTTAGACCCCGGGATGTTGTTTCCAAAACAACGTTCGGCTTTTTTGTTTTTAAGACAGAGACTTTGTATACGTGAACTATTCAAAGAAACTCTGATTACATCCTACAATTATGATAATACTATTAAAATCAGGTAATGATTGAACACATTGTGCTAATAATCGAATAAACAAAAAAGATGAAAAGAGTTTGTAAAGAACAAGTTTTTATAAACGGAAATTAGGCTCTAGATTCAAAATCGGGAATCTGTTTCGAGTCCCGTCTTCTCCTACAAGTCATTTGTACCTAGTTAGTCGTGTGTGTCAAGTTTCGTTAACATCCGACGCCGTTTGAACATTTTAGTGAGTCAACCAGTTCGAAAAAGAGTTTCTAAAGAACAAGTTTTCATAAACGGAAATTAGACTCTAAATTCAAAATCGGAAATCGGTTTCGAGTTCCGTCTTCTCCTACAAGTCACTTGTGCCTAGTATGTTGTGTGTGTCAAATTTCATTGACACCCGAGCCCATTTGAGCATTTTAGTGTGTCAACCGGTTCGAAAAGAGTTTGTAAGAAATAAGTTTTCATAAACGGAACTTAGACTCCAGATACAAAACCGGGAATCAGACTATCGGTTTTGAGTCCCGTCTTTTCCTACAAGTCATTTGCGCCTAGTATGTTGTGTGTCAAGTTTCGTTGACATCTGAGCCCATTTGACCATTTTAGTGAGTCAACCGGTTCGGAAAAAGAGTTTGTAAAGAAAAAGTTTTCATAAACGGAAATTAGGCTCCAGATTCAAAATCAGGAATCGGTTTCAAGTCCCGTCTACTCCTACAAGTCACTTGTGCCTAGTATGTTGTGTGTGTCAAGTTTCATTCACATCTGAGCTCGTTTGAGCATTTTAGTGTGTCAACCGGTTTGAAAAAAAGTTTCTAAAAACAAGTTTTCATAAATGAAAATTAGGCTCTAAATTCAAAACCGGGAATCGAGTTCCGTCTTCTCTTACAAGTCACTTGTGCCTAGTTAGTCACGTGTTTCAAGTTTCGTTGACATCCGACGCCGTTTGACCATTTTAGTAAGTCAACCAAATGTAATAGCAGCTTGTAGCAATCTGAGTAGGAAACTACAAGGTACACTGCTTTTCTCATCGGGCAGCAGCCAAACTATGGTCTCAACCACCGACCGATTCTTTATGGCGTCCCCACCTTGTATGGTACCCTTGTGAAACCCTGGCAACCTTCTCAGGGCATATGCTTTTAAGGATTCTCCAATCACATCACTGGACAATTTGCTCTTTGTTTTAATCGTTGTTATGGCCCATTGTATGCATTGAGAGTCACCATCATACCATAACAGAATTTTGCACATATTTCAAAGGCAGCAGGTCCACCGGGAATCTCATGGATGCAGATTTCATTGTTGTTTTCCTCATTTGTATCTGCAACCAACTTCTGCAAGCAGGCACTCCTGGACAAGAGGGGAAAATACCGAACATGCAGTATGTTGTTATTGGATAGCATACATATAAAACTAAAGTGCACACAAATACATAGACTAGATTTGAGAAATAATGATTGATAATTTTCAATTTCCTCCCATATCAGGTCTTTATTACTAGTCAGACATATCTAATTGGTCAAATAGGTTGAGCTGCTACCAGATACAATATGGATTACATTACCTAGAAATGATCAGACCAGAAAAGTTAGAAATCAAAGATTTTCTATTTGGCTTTACAATTATAAATTGGTTGATGTGGTTTGTATTTTTAATTTGTTCACATATGGCAAGCCCTTTTGAGTTTTTACCAGCACAAATTTGACTTTAAAATGTAGTCAGCCATTTAATCAATATATAATGAACTCTACACAAATATGCATGGATTTCATACCTTATGTAGATAAAATTGCACCTCTCCCACATTAATGACTATGTCAGTTGCCAAGTCGGTTGCGACATACCTGAACACAAAAACATTCCTCCAGTTATTATATTATGTATGAACAAGCAGCACAAGGAAATCTTAATGTGATTGTTCTATAGAAAAAAATTGCAAGTCAGAATGAAGTTGGGCAATTCTCCCAATTGATAAAACACAATGACAAAGTAAGGCTTCATGATATCACAAAGTTAATTAGAACTTAGAAGGAAAATGAACACAAAAACAAGGATAAGAATCCACCTTTTAATAGTACAAGAGTCCATCTCAAAGTTTGAGGGTAGTCTCATAAAAAACATTAAAAATAATTTTGGAGTACCAAAAAAATTCATTAAACTGACAGAGAACCTTGTACCGGACAGTTCCCTTTTTCAGGATAAATGGCTAATTAAATTTTTAGAAAGCTCAGAACTGCAGTATCATTGATGTCTACCAGGTGACAGAGAAGTATTGCAAGAAATAAGTGAACTAATTCCAATCACTGCAAGGGCTTCCATGGTTTAAAATTCCCCAAAACCCTTATAAACTCAAATTTATTTTTTTTTTTTAATTTTTTTTTTTTTTGACAAGTCTTATAAGCTCAATTTTTTGGGCACATACTTCACTTGAATAAGTAGTTTTATGTGACTCCATACCATGGACAAATCGATCAAGATGTGTGAGTATGAATAGAGAAACATCAAAGTTGAAATTACAAACTCCAAAGGTTCTACTAAGACTGTCGTATAGAGTTATAAAACCAAACCAGCATCGTCGACCAAAGTGGATGGTTTGTCACACTACCAATCATTAGACTATCAACAGTCATTTATTACAAACTCCAAAAGGTTCTAAGAGTGATGTTTTGTCATATACCATTTTTTCCCCTGGAAATCTTTTAGATAATGAAAATGGCCACATACAGTAAATATAAAACTGGGAAGAATTTCTCAAATTCTGAACGTAAATAGAGATTTCAGAGAAGTTTGATGAGAAGGATATTTGAATAGGAATCACTAAAAGAATGGATGTCACTTCAGAATAACAGCCCACCACCATTGACACTCAATTCTCATAACAAAAATCAGTCCTTCCATTCAAATGCTAAATCAATAAAGAATAACAGCTCACCACCATTGACACTTCAATATCAGAACAAAAATCAGTCCTTCCATTCAAATGCTAAATCAATAAAATAAATTGATAATTCATAATAGTAGCAAAATAAAGCAGCAAATTTCATTCCTTCGTTGATCAATATATTCACATAGAACAATCTGTTTGCAAAGGCTACCAGTTTCAAATTGATAACTTGGAGGTGATACTAGGGCAAAAGTCAGAATCAAAGAGTGATAAGAAACATTTAATCCAACTGAACGGAAGCCGCCATTAAACAATCTTGACAGTTAAATTGGTTCGTAAATATCTGATTTTTTCTATTTTTTTATTTTTGTTGCTTACAAGAAACAAAGGTGTTCTTTCTTGCTCTATGATTTTGTTTCCAAAAAAGAACATATATAGACAAATAAATCCAACTGAACGGAAGCCCCCATTAAAAAATCTTGACAGTTGAATTGGTTCTTAAATATCTGATTTTTTTAATTTTTTTATTTTTGTTGCTTACAAGAAGCAAAGGTGTTCTTTCTCGTTCTATGATTTTGTTTCCTTGAGTATCTGTTTTAATTTTTGGGAGTGAGAAGACAAAACTAGACTAGAAATTTGGTACCATAACTGATTTAGGTAAACTCTATTTTGTCTTTTGTGTGTTCTATCCGATAACTAGCCTCTAAAGCTCGTTATGCAATCTAAGAACCAATATGTTTGTTGATGGACCTTATACTAGAGTTTCAGAGACAATGCCCTTCTATGACATACTGAACGAGTTTCAAAAAGGCCTCAGCCATATGGCTGCTGTCGTGAAACAGGATAGTGACACAGTGGAGCAACCAGCCAGCAAACACACGGCCAATGGTGAGTACTGAGTTCTCTTGGTAAAATGGCTTTTGTGTATTCTTTTTGTGGTTTCTTTAAGTTGCAAAACTCTTTTAAGCTTTCTTGCAACTCTTGAACTTGGCCTTTATATGAAATTTTTTTCTTCTCTAATTTCCTTAAATTTTGGCAAGTAAATTTAAATGCTTTGAAGTTATTTACTTAGCTATGGCCTTCATTCAGCTTGTACACAAGAAGCGGTCAACAAGGCCATGGAAACAGCGAAAATTCCACAAAAATTGTGGGCAAAGACCCCGCTCTGGAAGCGAGCAGAGCTCCTTCACAAGGCTACTGTTATTCTCAAAGAACACAAAGCCCCCATTGCCGAGTGTCCAGTATATATATATATTATTTGGAGCAAAGGGAATTAAAAGGGCAAAGAAAAAGAAAAGGGTTTTGTTCTTGTGATGAACTGTTTTATTCTTAATCAAAAAGGGTTTCAATCAACTGATGAGGACGGAGAACACAGGCGATAGAAGACCAAAGGAGAGCAGATGAAAGCTATACCTGGATGCTGGAGGGAGAACCGGTGAGGCAATCGTTGCCGCTGCTGCTACAGACAGTGTGTGAGGAAACGCGAGAGCGAGAGAGAGATTCTGAGGGTCTGCGTGAGCGAGAGAAAAGAAGAGAAGAGGGGAGGAGAGGAGGGTTACCTGGATGCTGCCCAAGATGCTGTTGTTGCCGCTGCAAGAGAGAGACAGAGTGACGACTGGGTGAGAGAGAGAGAGAGAGAGAGAGAGCAGTGAGATTAGGGTAGAATATTGAAGGTTTTTTTTTTTTTTTTTATCCCAAGAGAATACAGAGGCCCTGTTTGGTAGAGCGGTGGGAAAGTGCTTATAACTTATACCTTATAACTATGAATATAAGTTGATTTCTGACTTATAAATTAAGCATCTTATGCCCTACTCAAAGAATAAGTTGATTTCTTACTTACAAAAAGTTATAAGCTGCATTCTTAAACTAAACCAAACACATCAAAATAGCTTAAATTAAACTGAAAACTGAAATAAGCAGCTTTTAAGTTGCACCAAACAGGCACAGAGAGTTTAGAAAAAGTGGGAAAGAGGGAGGGTGGGAGGGGTGGGCGCCAATTTAGGAATTACCATTTGCGACGATGTTAAGGCCCGTCACAAATGAATGAGCAAAAAATAAACATTTTGCAATGGATAGTCAAAAGAGCGTTGCAAAAAAAAAATTTAAAAATTTAGACGTTTAACGTACCATCGCATATAATCTTACTTTTTGCCACGGACTTAATTTCTCGACGTCATTAATTGCTGTCGAAAAACGCTTGCTCTTTGCGACGATTTTTAAACCATCGCAAACTGTTCCGTGTCCTATGCCCCTTTTTCTAAGTAGTGTGACACCCATTTTTTCTCACTATAACACCCAACAAAACCCAGCTGATGTAATATGTGGCATGTTTCACCACAAGGAAGGATTCCAAAAAAGCTATAGTGTACTTTTTCTTATTGTGACACTCATTTTTTCTCACTGTAACACCACAAGGAAGGGTTCTAAAAAGATTATAGTATACTTTTTCTCACTGACACCCACTTCTTCCCACTATAGCACCCAACAAAAGATTAAATTTGTCATTGCACATATAATAAGACCAAACAGAACATAAGAAAAATCATGGAATTATCTAGATCACAATTTCAACATTTAAGATTTATTGGTCAATCTTCCTTTTTTTATTGAGCACTATTATATATCATCAATTTTTTTTTCTATCATTTAAATTACCAATGCAAATATTCATTATTTTTTTAATGATGATTTTTAAATAAGTAACCAACAACAAATAAAATAGTTACAAAAATAATTGATATAGCATTCCTTTTATACTTCTTTTATTCTTGCATTTTAATCTTTATTTCTCTCTTATTTATTCAGTTTTCTTTTTTTCTTTTTTTTGGCTCTATTCTTTAGTCATAGGGCGGAGACAGAAAACTAAATCAGATGGAGCACTTATTAATTACAACTTCAAATTTTTTTCCATAACTAACAATAAAAAGATAATAATAATTTTTGAATTAATATTAAGTAAAAGTATTTCACATAAAATTTTACAATTAATTTCGAAGTAAAATAAAAAAAGAAAATATTGCGTATAACTAGTATATTATGAATAATGTAAAAAGGTCTTATATTTAAGTCTTAAAATAAATTATATAATGGTAAGATAAATTACAATTTTATAAATTATATAATGATAAAATAAATTACAATTTTATAAAATTTGAGTAAAAATTTCATATAATAATGATATTAGGTCATCATTGACATATGATATCACTAACCAATAATAAAACAATATATGAATGGTGAATTTCCTATGCAAATATAACTAACACTTTAGTAACTTTTACAAGTGAGATTAATTACATTTACATATCAATAATGCTGATATTACCTTTATATTGAGATTTTTTTACAAAATTTTCATACATAAAAATATAATTTATTGTAGTCTCTTCATTTTCAATAAAACAATCACTATTGTTCTCACAAATTTAGAAATGCTATTGACATTTCATTTTAAATATTATTTTTCTTTAAAATTTTATTTATATACATATGTCAAAAAAAATTAAAAATTTTAAAAAAATTTAAAAAAAAAATTGTAAATCCAACGTGACCTCCCTGGCCAGGCCTCTATGTGGCTCCGCCACTCACCGTGTCTCTGTTTCCTTTCTTTAACAAATTTTGACACAACATTTTCCTCATATTTACCGTAATTAAAAGAGTATAAACATAAAAATCAATAACGGGGATTTATTTAATTTAATTTTCGAGGAATAATTAGGGTAAAATGGAAATTACCTAGGAAATTCAAGAGCAGAACAAAAAGCTTCCCGCGGTTCTTTGGATTGTGAAATGCACAAGAAGAAGAAGGGATAAAGAAGGTGTTGCGTCGACGCCCATTCTTCACCACCCATTCTCTGAACCACTGTCGCTGATCGACAAGGAGGTGTGGGACCAAATAAATAATTTCACTTTTATTCTTTAATCTATTAATTTATAGAGTAATGATACAATTTTTTTAATTTTAGAATTTTAATTGAACTTTAATGACGCGTTAGAAAGAAAAAAAAAAAAAAAGTTTAACGGGTAATTACACTTTTGAACCATACAGTTTAATCTAAATTTCATTTTAGTCCTGTTAAGGATAAATTTGATAAGTTAAAAAAAAAAAAAAAAAAGTCAACTCTTAATTTATTTTGGATCATATCACCTCACATTTTTTACACGTTTTTTCAAAAAAAATAAAAAATCAACTTTTAACAATCTTCCCAAAACACTCCCTAATATGTTCTAATTACTATATTTGGTTTCAATTTTCTAGATTCAATTTTTTAGATATTGAATTTTTTGTTTTTCGTATTTTTTTTTTGTTTTTAATGAATATTTTTAAAATTTTAAGTAATTTTTTAACTTTAATAAATACACAAAATACGAAAATGATTGATTTTTTTTCTGGTATTTTTTATTATTTTTTTAAAAAATTTATAAATATTTTACTTTTTAAATGTATTTATATGTTAAGTGTATAGACCCAATTTGGGAAGTAAAAAAAAAAAAAAATCAAAAGTCAACTTTTAACTCAATTTTGGTCATATCACCTCACATTTTTTACACGATTTTCAAAAAAAATCAAAAAGTCAACTTTTAACTATCTTCTCAAAACACCCCGTAATATGTTCTAATTACAGTATTTGGTTTCAATTTTTTAGATATTGAATTTTTTATTTTTTGTATTTTTTTATTTTCAATGAATATTTTTAAAATTTTAAGTAATTTTTTAACTTTAATAAATGCACAAGAATTCGAAAATGTATTGAATTTTTTTTTTTGGTATTTACTGATTTTTTTTAAAAAGAATTCACAAATATTTTGCTTTCTAAATGTATTTATGTTAAGCGTATAGGCCCAATTTGGGGGGAAAAAATAAATCAAAATTCAACTTTTAACTCATTTGGGGTCATATCATCTCATATTTTTTACACGTTTTTTCAAAAAAAAATCAACTTTTAACCATCTTTCCAAAACACCATATAATATGTTCTAATTACTGTATTTTGTTTTAATTTTCTAGATTCAATTTTTTAGATATTGAACTTTTTTGTTTTTCATATTTTTTTATTTTTAATGAATATTTTTAAAATTTTAAGTAATTTTTTAACTTTAATAAATACACAATAATGTGAAAATGTATTGAATTTTTTTTCTGGTATTTACTGATTTTTTTAAAAAAAATTCACAAATATTTTGCTTTATAAATGTATTTATGTTAACTGTATCCAAAATTTTTTAAAAATTGCTTAAAATATTAAAAAATCAATAAAAGCAAAAAAAAAAAATCAATTTTCTAAAAAATAACAGTCCCGTTTGGTAGCTCGAAACTAAACACGGCTCGAATGGCCTAAGTCCAAAACGACGCTGACTTGATTTTTTTTTCTTTTCCTCTGAAACAAAGAGCTTAGAGGAGAAACAGAGAGGCTAGAGAGGAGAAACTAATCATTCATCAACACAACAACAACACATTCATCAACAACACAACATCATAATTTTTGTCGAATCTGAAAAAAAAAAAAAAAAAAAAAAAAAAAAAAAAAAAATTTATTCAACTACACAACATCATACATTCATCAACAACGAATAGTGACAAAAAAAATTAAATTGAATCTAAAAAAAAAAAAAAAATTAACAACACAACATCATCATCAACAACAATTATCAACATCATCTTTAGATCCAGATCTACTAGAAAATAAAAATAAAAATACAAAAAAGTAGAGAGAATAAAGACGAGAGACCTACCGGCAGATTCGTCGCCATCACTTTCTGTTGTGTGTGTATACACAGATCTGTGTATACACACACAAATCTTCTTCCTCTTCCCTCGCCGTCTTCTTCTCTGCCATCACCATCTTTTCTCCTCTCTTTTCTTCTCCTCCTCTCTCTCTCGCCTCTTCTCTCTTCCTTTTCTTTTCTTCTCCTTCTCTCTTCCTTTTTTCTCCTTCTCTCTCTCTTTTCTATCTCTCTGTATTCGAAAGCAAGAAAAAGAAGGGAAAAAAAAAAGAAGGAAAAAAAAAAAAAAAAAACGACGTCGTTTTGGGTTTCGAGCTAGTGAATTTCGAGCTACCAAGCATTATTCAAAAAATATATCCTGAATTCGGAAACCAAACAAGCTAAATAATTTTATTTGCTTTTTTAAAAATTTAGTTTCAGCTTATGCGGCCCAATTGAGAATCTACAATCATCGTTAGCACTTAATTTGATAGTTAAAAGGCATTTTAAAATTTAAATAATTTAAATTATATAATTGAATCTTTTTATTCATTATTTTGAAATGAGCGAAGAAGAACATGAATACTTAATTGCAAGATATCTATTGTTATTTAATATAATGTGAATAAGAAGATAGGTTTTTTTTAATGATTTAATTTGTTCAAATTGTAAATAGATTTGGTTTCTACCATTACTCATTTGGATATACTGTCTCCAATTGAATATTGGACCATATGAACTAAAATAAAAAATTGAAAGACTAAATAAATAAAATTGATAGTTTAGTGTTGAAATAGAAAGAAAAAAAAAATGACAATAATTTGGAAATAAAAGTGAAATTAACCTTATGTATCAAATAAGCAAGCACAATCCTGCATCCAAATCATTGGTAATATAATCAAATTAAATTAAAACTTATGTCTCTGAGATCATTGCATGAATAGGAAAAAAAATTATTTATTTAGACTGATTTGTAATAGAATCATAAAAGGCCAAATGATGCAAGGAAGTGGAGCCCTCTGTCCCTCCCCACTTGCAAATTCAATTCTCAGCCACAGAAAGAAGTGGTGATGAAACCATCTCTTCTCATCATCATGAACTTGTTAAAGCCATACCAGACCATTGGCTCTCAGTCTCTCAGTCACTCACTCCCATGGCTTCTGCAGCTGCAGCTGCTCCAGCTTCTTCATTCTCTCTCCTCCGGCTGAGGGCCCGAAACAGTGGCAGCAACCAAAGGGAAGATCAGCAGCTATGGAGAACAAGGGCAGTATGGCAAACAACAAGAAGAAGAGGAAGAAAAACAAGGCATAGTAGTTTGGGAGTATTTGCGTCGGCGGTGCAAGGGTCAGAAGGAGGGAGACAAAGGGCACCTCCAGGCGTTGATACAAGAATTCATTGGGAGAATGAAGATGAAGGCTGGATTGGAGGAAGTAACTCACAATCAACAGCAGCAGAAGAGGACCAGAGCAGTCTCTTGGGTGAAAAGTTTTCTGAATTGCTTAACAGTTCATCTGATTCCCATTATCAGTCAGTCTCTCTCTCTCTCTCTCTCTCTCTCTCTCTCTCTCTCTCTCACCCACATGGAATCTTGACCGAAAGTACAAGGAATTGAGTGTTACAATGAAATATGAAAAAACTAAATTGAGATTTTAAATAACTTGCAAGGATACAAAATATAACTTTTATGTTATTATTCATCAACCAAGATTAAAATGTATGCAAGCATTATTAGAACGGTTAAAAAATATTATTAATTGATAGATATCCTGAGTCTAGTTGTGTGATCCATTTCTGTGTAAAAGATTTATTCTCATTTGAAAACTGTTTTTGCGACTGAATATTGATGGAAACCAAAACAGGTTCTTAGGAGTAGCAGTAGATGCAGACGTGGAAGAGATAAAAGCAGCTTACCGTAGATTATCAAAAGAGTACCATCCAGACACAACATCGCTGCCGCTGAAAGTAGCCTCGGACAAGTTCATGAAACTCAGAGAAGTGTATGATGTTTTGAGCCATGAACAGAAACGCAACTTCTATGACTGGACACTGGCTCAGGAAGCTGCTAGCCGGCAAGCTGAGAAGATGAGAATGAAGTTGGAGGATCCATATATGAAAGAAATAGAGAACTATGAATCAGTCCCAGATTTGGTGGATCAGCTCGGAGGTAGGAACTTGAAGCTGAGTGATCAGGCTATGACGGCTCTTACCTTTGATGTTCTCATCATAGTTTTCGCTATTTGTTGCATCATTTATGTGATTTTCTTCAAGGAACCATATTAATAGCTAGCTAATAAAGACACTTGTATAGTTAATGAAATTGAATCGCTACAGTTTAATTTTGGAAAATGTTATACGAAGTATCCGATTTTCTTACCATTAGACACGAAATAATGGATGCCACATGTATTTATTAAAGGAAGTCTTGCTATCTTTTGTGAGGGAGGCGAGGCAGAGATAGGCTTGGGAGGCATAAGGGTGGGAGGGAAGGGGTTGCAGAGAGGTGGAGGGTGGGGAGGGAGCTGACAGCACCGGGGAGAGGTTGGCTGACCATAGTTAAAGGGTTACCAGTTTGGCTTCTATCTCAGCTTGTCACTTCACCTCTTTGGTTGCATAGTCACTTACACACTGGATATCAATACATCAAATTCACATTTATTTGTTAGAAATTGAATTTAATTGATTGACTTTTGCATAAAGAAACATCAATACAAATTTAGGAACCACCTCTGACAAACTTGCTTACAACATATCTAAGCCCTTTTTTTTTTTTCTTTTTTTTTTTTTCGAGCCCAACACTCTAGGCAGGGAGGCGGACTATTGTTATACAATGTGTGACTTTTGAGTATAATTCATCAAGAAAATAACAAATAATGAATATAGAGAGTGAGATCTAAATTAAACAAGGGTGAACCACTGACCAAACCACCACTGGACCAAGATCACCGATCATAGCAAGACCCTTCACCATTCAAGCTGTGGAGTTTTTAATAGATAGGTTAACAAAATGACCATCAAAGTCTGGACTTTTTTTTCGGTAATTTTTGGAATGCTGGTGCTTTTGCTGCTGCTGCTGCTGAAGCTGGTACAGCGTTTGAAGCCTTGCAATCTCTGTCTGTAACACATCCTGTTCCACTGCACCAATCAAGAACATGTTAGTTTCAAACACTTGCTCTAGGTTTTAAGAATTGTTGCAACACCATGATCCGAATCACAAGTACAAAAAATGATTTAACCATCAAATAATATAAGTAGATGCTGTCAAACCTATGAGAAAATATTTTCGAGATTGTATTTGCAAAACTGGTGCATCCACACCCAAGGATAGTGTACAAATGCGAAATTTCATTACGAGTAAAACCATATGAATTAGGTAATGATATAAACAACAAGTTTCATGAGAACCTAACCAAAAAGACTATGTGATGATAAAATACATAAGATTAACTCCCTAACTCGAAAAGAAGATAAAAAATGGAAAAGAAAAGTTTGTTTGAGAAACAAATTGGACAACACGAAGAATTTTTGCATAAAAAACACATAACAAGTTGCGGACTTAAAAAATAAAAATAAAAACAAACCATTAGGAAAAAGATACTTACAGTGTTTTATAAGATACACCTGAGATAAACTGTCTAATCTCTGCCTTAGTGCTCTGTTCTCCATACCCAATATAAGATTCTGCTGGTCAAGAAATTCTAGCTCAGATGAAGCTTTAGATCCTACAGCCTGTAAAACCAGAAACAGGCAAGAAAGTGTTACCGTTCACATAGCATAAAGTATCAATTCTGAATATGTGGAAGCAACGGTAAATACAAAAAATACAGTGCTTTAACTTATGTTGCCTTGCCTGTAAAACTTGTATATTCCTTTCCAGATCAACTATGTACTGAAGTTTCCTGCCGCATGACCGGTAAGCCGATTGCCTACATTTTACCACATCTTACAGTTTCACTACAATCAAATCTAATTTTTACAAAAAATTAAGAAAACTTTCAATATGTTTTGGCATCACACATTGGATGCGGACCACATCCATAATGGACTTTTAAGACGGCGCAAGACACTTCTATCTTGGAGGCGCCTTTTAGGCTGGGAGCCTTAAGGGGCAAACCCGTGAGGCTGACTGTTGGGTTGGACCATAAGACAATACTTTCAAGTGGGGCCAAGCCTTGCATCTTACATGGTATCAAAGCCATGGTCCCCGAGGTGGAACCTCACCTAGGTACTAAAATAGTTTATAAACTCGAGAACTATACAGGGCAGAGAACTATATGGATAGTTCTAGAGTAGTATAACATTAAAGACTCAAAACTGATTGGACAAAAATCACAATTCAACTCATACTCAAAAAAATAAAAATAAAAAGAAGAGAGAATTAAACTAAAAAAAAAAATCCAGAATGCTCGTTCTGGATGAGTTTTCTATACAAAAGTTCATTATATAGAAGGCACAAACTAAGAGTAGATTAGCTTATACTTGTTGAAATCAACAGCAAGCTAGAAATCCCATGTTATGAGCCTACGATTATTTTAAGGAATGATCATTATACCAACAACATGAAAACATTGCCTTACTGTTTGGCACGTTTTGCTTCTGGCTTGGACGCGGAAGGCTTAGTTTGTGGACTGTTACTTCTTTCAGCCAAACCTTCTTGGTTTTGAGAACCAGAATCCTCCTGATCACCCTTTTTAACAGCCGTAGAAGGCAACCCTTCTAATTCCTCTGGAGTAGATGATGATAGTGTGGCTTGACAGGAAATGCCATCCCTAGGATTTTTTAAGTTGTTTTCCCCATATGTGTTAAATGTCTTAGCTATCGGGCCTAAGTATGCAGAAGAGTCACTTGCTGAACGTCGGTGACTGTTTTGTACCAATGTCTCTGGCTCATTAAGAAGATCGTCAAGCCAAAATGGTTGCTCTAAGAGAAAATTTTCAGAAGAAGAGCGTTGATGATGGCGACTCTGTCCCTCCATAGGCTTTTGAATAGCTTCTGATCCTACAATGTGAGAATTGGCATAGGACCAGAAAGGATGTGTGAGGGAACCTATAGGAGGGAGCAGCGTTGGTCTGCTTGGATATGGGGAAGTTCTTAAGTTTGACAATCTGTTTGAGCTATCCATTGTGTAAGTGAAGCAGCCTGTCAAAATGTTGTCAAGAGCAAAAGCATTAACAACACTTCAATAATTGTTTGAAGACTTTTCAGTCTGTGATGTTAGTTGTGGAAAGCTTAACTACACAAAGGACCAACCAAAAAGGGCACAATTTATGCTTAATTCTGAAATTCTTTTCTCATTTATGAGTTGAGACAAATGGGATTGTTCTCATCTGCCATATAGTTGATGATTTACTTTGAGGGAACTGTTAGAGGGGAAGCCAAAAAAAAAAAAAAAAAAAATAAATTTTTTTTTTTTTTTTGTCACAAGGGAAGAAACAAAGGAACACATTAACCTCAAAAATACAGTAAAGATTCCACCGATGTGTCTTTTCAATTCAATAAAACTCCGTTTAACGCCTTGAATTTTTTATTTTTATTTTTTTAACCTTTTCCTTTAATGTGCACTCATTTCATTTTTCTAATAATGATTTTAAGTAGGATACATTAAAAAAATCACAAAGAAGTAAAAAAGAATAATTAATAACACCATACCCACCACCAAAAAATCCCAAAAATAAAAATTGATGACATTAGGCATTGATTCTCCAGCTTATGCAGCTGGATTGGATCTCAGCTTCAGCATCCTCTCTCCCTTTCCCTTAGGCCAGGCTCTAAACTAAACATTAGCAATTTCAAAAAATCATAATTATTATCATTTGGTTTTAAAAAGCTAAATTTTTGTCATGACTTTTTTTTTTTTTTTTTTGGGAAGAAGTATAGAAAGCCATTGAATGTAGAATGACAAATTCATTGCTTCGATTTTCATCATTGAGATAAATAAGGGAACAAAGGCAAGAAAGACCAAGATCTTCAATTATAAAATAAATAATCGTAATCATATCACTGGTTATATGACAAAAAAATACCAGTCGGTCTACGAACACAAACTAAACATTGAAATCAACACATTACAGAATATAGATGAATGAATAAGATTTGGTGGTGGATTCACTTTTGAAATTTTTTATCTGTTCATTCATATACAATTTCTTATCCTGGATTTCCAATCGATTTCTTTTCATATACATGCAGAGAGAGAGAGAGAAAGGGATTGGTACCAGCAGCGGCAGGGGCAGTGGGACGAGAGATGAATCTCATGGGTCGATCTCACCACCACCAGTCAGCCCACATTGTGGTCAAGTCTCCATGTCTATACACACAGATCGGAAAGAGAGCCCAACCCCTTCATACATGGAACTCCGGAGCCAGAGAGAGAGAGAGAGAGAGAGAGAGAGAGAGCTGAGAAAAGAGCGCAGAGACCATAGCGCACTTTACGTAACCAAGCTCAAACTCCAACCGTAGCCTGCAATTAAGGCCTTGTTTGGGAAATTAGATATTTTAATTAGTTATTTGATTTTTTAGGTAGGTTAGGTTTGGCATCCCCTACAAAAGTCAAAAAGTCAAAAAATCACTATCCTATTTAAGTCACATCATCTTATTTAAATCACTTTACCTTTCTACCACATCACTTCAAACTCAACCCATATTTCATAAAAAGTCAAAAAATACACTTATTTAGAACATTCTAAACAACTCTTTATTTTAATCTGGTTAAAATAGTTGCGTTGAGGAAATTGGTTGGCTTTTGTTTTTAGTTAATCTAATAGTTGTAAAAGAAAAAGTTAAATTATTATAAATTAAATATGATATTTTGTCTTATAAATTATTTTAACTTATTTTATCAAGCTATTTAAACTCAACGCTCTACCCAAATCCCCTAAATAAAATGGAGATAGAGATCAAAATTAAGAAAAAAATCCTGATTACGACGGTTGATATTTGATTGTGACTTGGGTTAATTATGTTAATTATAATATTATTTTGATATAGTAGAGATTTTTTTTTATTATTATTTATATGGTGCTCAATTATAATTTATTTTTTTTTAATTTTGACTTTTACATGATTGACTATAATAATCAAAATTTACAAATGTGTAGCATTATTCTCAAAATTAATAGATGTAAAATTGTTACATTAATTTAAAACAATTTTAAAATTCAATTTCACTTTAAAACTGTTGACCATTGACTTTTATTTTGAATAATGTATTACAATCTTATGAATTGAAATGGAGGATCATATTTAATTTTACAATTACCAAAGGCTAGTAACTGGTGACAATCATTGACGGCATTAGAGGGGTAGTTTCTAGAGACTTGAGGTGTTCATATATGTTCTCGCCATATCTATATTCTATACAGATGTTAATATTTCATAATTCATATCACACTCAAAATAGATTGTAATCATAGAATACAATTTTTACATATTCTTTTCACATTCTATTTATGTGCACTTAAAACATTTTTTCAGACAAAAAAAACTTGTAGTCCACCTGTAGGAGGAAAAATACCATTGCCACATAATTATAAAATGATGTATGTCTAACATATTTTTCCAAGCTTAAATTAGATACAATAAGTTCCATAACATTTGAACAAACTTCAAAAGGGAAGAAAACAGCAAAATGGCAGGTCAAACACAGAACACATCAAAGAACATTACTAGCATCACCGCCGCCGTGGCCACCACCGGATTGATCAGACCAGGCATCAATGACATGACCATCCTCCATTTTCAGTTCATCGGCTGTTTCATTGTCGCCGATCTTCACACCATCATAAGTGAACCGAACAGCATCTATTTCCAATCCAAGACGGACACAATAAGCAAGCTTGAGTTCACGAAGTGACAGATCACGTTTGATCCTTAAAAATACGTCCAATACATGTTGTCTCTGCACTTTCAGAGTTACATGTGTACTTTCTTTCTTCCCAAACATGGTTGGTTGTTTTGTTTTAGAAACCAAAATTAACTGACACAAGTTGAGAAGAAGTGGGAATATATATATATATATATATACAAGATGAAGATTGGAGGCATGATTCTTTGGGATTCCAAGGACTTTTGGGTTGAGATAGGGAACTGTAATGGGCACTCCATTGTTGATTGTTTAATAAAGTTCAATTATCAATTATGAGACTATCAATACGTTATAAAAACAAAGCAAATTTTTTATCTATATCCTTTCACTCAAGAGTAATTTTTATCAAATATCTCATATAGGTGTACAACTCACACAATGTGGGTTCCATGTGAATTCCACACCCATGCAAGACATTTAATAAAATTTTTGATAAATTTTTTAAAATTTTTAACATTTTTGTTTACTCAATGACAATGTATATATGTCCAGCTTCCCAGTTTTTAAAGAGTAATGATATCTAGAAAATTTATATAAAAAAATATTACGAAAAAAATGTGACGATGTTATTTTATAAATAAAAAACTATTTTTATGAATAATTTATTTTAAAATGAAAAGTTTTAAGTTCTGTCATTTTGTATAAAAATTATAAATAAATAAATAAAAATTATATATCATAGTTCGTATTTAAATTATAAAAAAAATATTAATGACAATCTTTAGACTACCAATAGTCTCGGTAAATATGTAAAATATATATATATATATAAATAATAAAATGTGTAAAAATTATATTAAGAGTCTAATTTTTATTTTTATTCTTTGGAGAAAAATTTCAAAAATTTTGAGAATAAAAAAAAAAGAAAATGACTTGGACCCCCACAAGGGACACTCTCATGACCCTCTCTCTCTGTTGTTTTTTTTCCTCCAATCACCAGCCCCCACATGTGTGTTGGTTTGTTTTTTAGAAAAAATTTTGGAAAAAATTCTCTACAAACAAATTTTCAAGAGTAGTCAAACCAAACAAATTTTTCTAAAAAAAATCTCATAATTTTGTTTGATTACCTAATTTCCAAAATTACTCTCTCTTTCATACACATCAAATCAATCACTTTTTTTAAAACTCTCTCCTCAAAACAATTTTCTAAAATCATTTCTAAAAAAAAACAAACCAAACAATTTTTTATACTTTTTATTTCAAAAACTACTCTACGAATACAAGCTAAACAAACTCATAGTACTTATTTAAACAATTAATACATGAATCACTTGTCCTTTTATTATTATTTTTAAATTTTTTATTTCTTATTCTTTTTGCATAAAAATCAAAGACGTACAGGGTTCACATTCTCATGTCATTATTGCAAGGAAACGATCAAGATTCAACCATTACTTATATCTTTTTTTGTGATCGCAACGTGTTGACACACTAGGATGATGTAAGATTATGATTGTGTTTTTTTTTTTTTAGTCAGTCGCAACAAATTTTTCAATACTCTCATCTAATTTAACATAAAATCGAACTTTACAATCAGTTCTAATTTCAATTCTTGGATTTTTTGTTAATAAATCTCGCTTGTCAACCTTCCGAAATTCCTCCTTATTGCAAATCAAAAGTTTACAAATAAATTGATTAGTGAACTTGCTCTTCCTAAAATAATCCATTTTTATGCTAAACCTCATTCTTTCTCTATATGCATCATAAAAATCATACACACCTTGCTCTGAATCAAATATAATTCCCTATTTTGACTTCCAAACACAATCATTCTTAAGTTTCATATTCATATCAAAATAAAACTGAAAAGTCATATAAATCAGATCTTACCTACAAAAAAACAAAACAAAATAAACAAACAAACAAAACAAAACAATTCCATCCTTATGGATGTGGGAGAACCTTAAACACACAGCAGCAGATTGGAGAAGTAGTGGTAAAACCCAATTAATTTACATTCTTATTAATTTCCTTCACCATTGTTTTTGTAGCAGCCAAACAAATCATTAGATATTTGTGAACACACGCCTTGTCAAAATAAAAACAACAATTCCAGAGACAAAAAATTACAAAGACAAACACTAAAAACAACAATTCCAGAGGCAAAAAATTCCAAAGACAACAAAGACATAGTACCAAACTTTTAAACTTAAATAATCTTTGAAAAGACATTGTTTTTAATTTATCCATGTCAAGACATTCTTTTCTTTACTGACGGCAAAGCAATTGATCCAAATGTCTGTAATTTATTTTTTTATTTTTTTTTTATTTTTTATTTTTCAATAGAAGAAATCCATATAGGCCTCAATGAATTGAATCTTAAACACACATAGTGGCAGATTTGCAAAATCTAACAAAAAATAAAGTCTTTACATGGATAAATAAAAAAAAAGGGAATGTTTTTACAAAGCTTCAAGACAAAAAAAAAAAAAATGCAAAGACAAATTTCAGCTTCAAAAATGAAGACTAACCTGTGGATGGATGATTGACGTCGGACTGATTTGCTCACAACGGAGCAATGGGTTCGCTATGTGAGGGCAGATAGAATGAGGGCCAAGCAATGACTTCGGTTTGGGGAGTGGGTCGCCGTGGAGAGGGTCGCCGGTGAGACGGGTTCGGTGAGGTAGAGGAGAAGAGCGTGAGGGCTCTGGTTTGAGAAGCAGACACCTTGATCGGTTGGGTTTCAGGAGTGGGTCGTTGTCGTCGGGAGTGGGTCGCCGTCAATAGTAGGTGGCCGCCGAGATTGGGTCGCTGATGAGAGTGGGTTCGGTGGAGAAGAAGGGGAGTGTGAGGCTGAGTGAGAGTGTATAACCTGTATAGCTGTATAGCATATATGGCTTTTGGGCGGGAAATTGGTTGATTTTAATTTCATAATTTTTTTTTTATAGCCGTTTGATTTAGGTTGATGAATCTCAACCGTCGGACGGAGGAAATGAAGGAGAGAAGGTAAGGAGGGATCCAAACTCTACCACGTCGTTATGCAGCATCACACGTGTTGCTTCCTGCAACCGCACCATGATACAATGCCACGCGTCCACTCAACGAACAACTCCAGGCCCATTTCCATTCCAATCCCCCCAACTTTCGTTAACCAACAACACCTCCATCGAAATTCCAACGATCTTCAAAGAGAGTGACAGAGAAAGAGAGAGAGAGAGATAAAAAAACAGAGAATATGATGAACGCTTTGGCCCTGTGTCTGGTTTTGATTTCACTAGTAACAGCACCGACTCCAAGCCCAGTAAAGGGGAACAACCCAACCAAAGAAGAAGATGTCATAGTCAAAGAAGGCCACCGAGTCGTAGTTGTGGAGTTCTGTTTGAAATCAAGCTTCTTTTCATTATTAATAATATATAATATATATAATGTATATATTATATTTGTGTGTCATTAGTAGTCATCAGATGCCTTAGATAGTGCAATTTGCTTTAGTTAGTGCCATTTCCTTTCGGTTACTTTTAGTTTTATATGTTGTGCCTTTAATTATGATTGTTGCCTTTCATTATGTTGTCTAGTAACCTTTTATTATATTGTCTTGCAAATGTTGTATAATCACTCCTATAAAATAGAATCTCCCCGTAAGGAATAGTATAATTGAAAACAAAGGGCCTGTTTGCGCTGTCAATTATTCTCTCCATATTTATTTTTCAAGTTCGATAAACAAGATGGCAACACCAAAGTCTCAATCTCGCCCCACGAATCTCAGTATCAGCCTCACCTCTCTGAGAGTCATGGCCAGGGCCAGAGTCCCAGAGAGCTCGTCTGCAACGCTTTAGGCAACTGCAAGCACAAAGTTGCCACTGCACTCGGCAAAACCAAAGTTCTGGTCTCCGATAAGGCCCACGATGTCGAAGAACAAGCGGCCGAGACTGTTTCTGATGCTTTGGGTAAAGCGAAAGAGGCGGTGTCGCATAAAACTAGTCAGATCTCCGATAAGGCTCGTGAGGTCGAACAAGCTGCGAAAGAAGCCGTCGGAGAAGTTTCGGCAAAAGCGAAAGAGGCGGTTTCGGATAAAGCTCGACGAGTAGAAGGAGGTGTGAAAGAGATGGCTGCGAAAGCTAAGGGTGGTGCACACAATGTTTTTGAGTCGGCAAAAGAACAGGCCAAAGAGAAGGTACCGGTAGAAAATATTTTTATTTTACTTTAGAATTATTTGTTTGGAAAAATTGTACTTGGGGATTTGTTAATTCTGTGAATTTTTCACATTTTTAGTTCAATTATAACATTTAATTTCTCTATTAAGAAATTAGACAAAATCAAGAGTAAAATGGTCCGTTTCACATTTTTAGTTTAACTATAATATCTAATTTATCTATGAAGAAATTAGACAAAATTCTAGGTAAAATAGACAATTGATAAGGGAATTGATCATTTTAAATTGGGCATCAATCTCTTAATTATTTTGAAGATATAGTGAATGAATTATTTTTTCTTTTGATTTCCGTATAATTTTTAAAGATACATTATCCATTGGTTTTGACACATTTTGAAAAATTTACAGATAAAATTGATATATTTAAAATTATAATGATTAAATTAACACAAACAGATAAATTATAGAGTTAATTTTCCATATTTGTTTCTACATGTAGTAGTGAAGTTAGTGGTAATGGTGATATAGCATGTGACAATATTAGACAATGTTGATTTGCAGTAGGAATAACAATGCAAAAATGCTAGAGGCCTAAAAATTTTATCAAATATTTGATCAAATGTGGTGTGAGTGGTGTGGGTGTGAGTCCCTCGCTCATTTGATGAACCTGTGAGTTTAAACTCATGTGAGATATTTTGTCAAAAATTTGATAATATTTTTGATATCCCTAACATAACTCGTAACAATATTGTTGAAATGTTTTTGTAGAACACAGAGTTGACCACTTAATGCATTATATGGCCGGTAACATGTACACTCAAGTGTATTGACCTCACCTGGGTAGATCTTATTGTTTTAGACCAATTAAGTGGTGTATTTTATTTACACATTTTTAAATTGTGCGAATAAAATTATACAGCCTTCTTATTTCTAACAGGCACAAGAAGGCAGCAAAATGGCAGAGCAAGCCACGGAGACAAATTGTTATGCGAAGAGGCTCAAAGAGGAAGGAGAAAGGGAGTTGAATGAGATACTCCAACGAGCCCATGAAGTGGGTGAAAAGGCAGAGCAAGCAAAAGAGATGGTGAAGACCGGTGCAAAGAAAGTTAAGGAGGGAGGAGAAAAGGAGATGAATAACATTCTCCGGCGAGGCCGAGAAGTGAGCCACGATGTGTTAATATATTTACAATCAATGATGAGTGTGGTTCATCTGCTAGGATTTGCAACAGCTTATGGGATGTGCATGTGGGTGACCTTTCTGTCAAGCTATGTTTTGGCTGGAGCTTTGCCGAGGCAGCAATTCAGTGTGGTGCAGAGCAAGATATACCCCGTGTATTTCAGGGCCATGGCCTATAGCATACTAGTAGCCTTGCTTGGGCATTTGTTGGGGAAAAGGAAGAGATTGTTGTTGTTCAGCGTGGCCGAAATGTTTGTGGTCTATCATCTTGTGGCCTCGCTTGTCATGATTTTGGTTAATTTGCTCTACTTGGAGCCCCGAGCCACCAAGGTAAATTTACAATTTTTCCTTCCCCTGTTCCTCTTCGTCAAATTAAAGCACGGTTTTCAAATAATTATACGAGCATAGAAATTGATTACAAAACTAGACACCATCTGATAATATCATTCGGTTTCTATGATATGTTTCACTGTTTGTGCACGGTTTTCACAGAGCCATTGCCATCTCAAGTAGTCATAAGCTAAAGCTAAGTAGGTAATTAACCATATTGTAACTGTCATATGGTAGGAAGAGAAAATACAATAATGAAATAGAGAAAAGAAAAAATAATAATAACAAATTTACATTTTTGCTCTAAAAATGCCTTGTTTGATGGACATATGACAATCTCTCTTAGCCAATTTAATATCAAACCAATGGAAGGGCCACGTTGTTTGATTGTTTACAGTTGAAAACCGAAGTATTAAAGTAGGATTTGGTGTAAATAATTTGTCCAGTCTATAGATCAAATTCGACCACAGGATTTATGAATCATCTTAATGTGGGTTGTAGAATTTTTTTTTTAAAGTTTCACTTACGTTATATACTTCTTTCAATCTAAATAATAGAATTAAATTAACTTCAGAAAGTTCTTTTATTTTATTTTTATTATTATTATTTTTTAAATAGAATGCTTTTCAAGTATTAAAGTAGGATTTGGTGTAAACAAATTCGACCAAAGGATTTATGAATCATCTTAATGTGGGTTATAGAATTTTTTTTTTAAAGTTTCACTTACGTTATATACTTCTTTCAATCTAAATAATAGAATTAAATTCACTTCAGAAAGTTCTTTTATTTTATTTTTATTATTATTATTTTTTAAATAGAATGCTTTTCATAATCCTTTTTTTTTTTTCGTTCACATATTTAGAAACTTTGTTCTTTCTTTTAAAACTTACAGAACTACATAATACTTTTTCCTTTTTTCAAAAAACAATTTCAAGTTTCTTGTACATGTAAGAGATTGCAGACAAGTTCAATACATTTGAAGCTTATTTAAAAAATTGTATCATATGAAGGTGATGATCGAGAGGATGAAGATCGAGAAGGAAGAAGGGCGAGTCAGTTTAAACATCAACACTAGCAGCAAAGCAGCAGACCGTGTTGTGGAGCCTACAGTGAAACCTGCCCGTGCCTCAACTCCACCTAGCATGACTAGAATGCCGGAAAGAGCAGAGCAAGAGGTAGGGAAGTCTCGAGTTGTGGTACTTAACGCAAGGCTGAAGAAACTAAATACTTATTCTTCCTTTCTCAACGCACTCACACTTATGGTTCTATCTTGGCACCTTGTCTACCTCAGCCAACTTCTTTATGCGGCGGCCTGCTAATGCTGCAGGTAAGATCTTTTCTTGCTGCTTTAGTCCCATCTAGTAGTGTTCTTTATGAAATAGATTTTCTGTTCCATGATGCTTGTAATGTTTTAATGTGTAATTTAGATAGAGAGTACTTGAATTGTGTTTCAAATCCAAGGCAATGCATGTGAAATCGTGATTTATAAGTTGGATATGTTTTGTGAAAAAAAAGAAGAAAAAAAAAAGAAAAGATAGTAACAAGCTATGCATCTTATCCTTATTTGGCATGGGAAAGCTTGCTGAAGTAGTAATAAGCAAATAGAAAAATCGGTAACACACAAATCAAATACAAAATCAGACACTTTAAACACATGGATGGACAGGTTTTTTTCAAGATTCCCACTTCGAAGATATCCAGTCCATCTATGAGTTTTTAGTGCTTGGTTCATGGTTTAGTTGATATTTTGTTGTAAGAATTTTATACATCACTTGGTTTGGTTGATATCATAATTTACAAATATATGAAAGCTACATCGTTCTCCATTCAATTTTTTATTTTATTTTTTAAAAATTGGTGGTTTTATCATTTTTCTTACAAAATTAATTTGTCGGACTACAGGTGCAGTGCAGCTTAGAAACAGGAAGGAGTAGGTGCTAAAAGTGGAGAAGTTTTGATGCAGCAAAATGCGAAATTCTGGAAACAACGTAGTCATGTTCTTCACTTGTAAAAAGTGTAGTAGTTAGTACTAGGGGAGAAAGCAACAATGCTAACTAATATTATACGCAGTTCAGATTGCGAGTAAAGGATTTTGATGCAGCAAAATGCGAAATTCTGGAACATAGTCATGTTCTTGGCTTGTAAAGAGTGTAGTAGTTAGTACTAGGGGAGAAAACAACAATGCTAACTATACTATATGCAGTTCAGATTGCAAGAAAAGGGTTGTGTTTAGGATTTACAATGTAAATGTTGGTTCGGAGACAGTATTTACTTTGGTATCAATCAAAATCTCTTGTTGTACCCCCAACCCAAACGAGGGTGATCATGAAATTCTTTCTATCTCTAGTTTCAACATCATGTAGCATGAATATTAGTGAACTGAGACACAGAAAGTGCAATTGGAAAGAACTACTCACTTTTGGAGAGGTCTTAAAATTTAGAAAATTAATAATGTTGTGTCTGCTCTACTACTACTATTTGGGGGTTGTCTAATACTATTTGGGGGGCTTGAGTTTGATTTGTGTGTTTGGCCACTTTATTCATGGAATTTAAGTGGCTGTGTTACTATTGTATATTTCTACAGCAGCTTTGTTGTCGTCTCGTGCTCTCATCACATGTCTTTAGGAATTACCCACGTCTTTAGGAAGAATAAATCGGTTTTCACCTAAAATTTTAATAGAAATGTTAGGTACTTATAATTTTACTTAAAATGTGTCATAGTTATATTATTCTTGTCTAGTTAAAGCCGTTTTTATTATTGACTCATGTTGTTTTGTTGTTGACTACCCCTTATATTTTAGATAGAGGTGTTGGGCGGTGCCACCTTTTCTATTTAAAAATAATAATAGGTTTTTAAAAAAAATAATAATATTAATCTCGTGATGATTGTATTATTTTATTTTATTACATATTATTTATCAATTCATATGTATAAGTTTGACAACATATGATAATGTGATAATGGTAATATTATTTATCAATTCTTGTGTATAAGTTTGACACTATCCCATTATACTACCAAATCCGACGAATTGAAGGAGCCTTTTCTTAACCAACAAGTGAGCACATCAAAGCCCTATTTCCCTTGTGAAAATGATATATATACTCCCCATATAGAAACCATTCAGGTCCACCTTGATCAATTTAGCACCAATATTTTGAAAATCGAACCGGTGAACGAATCGAAAAAGAGATCGGGTGGACGGGTCACCGGTTCAACCGTCGAGTCAAAGCGGTCGAACCGTGACGTCATAATTAATATTATATAATATTACATAATTAAAAAATATAAATAAATAAAAATATATATAAATACTCAAATAAAAATAAAAATTATTGTATAATATTTATTAATAATATTTAATAAAGTCATAATTGATAAAAAAAAAGTCACTTTTTTTAAAGAAATTATTTTTTTTAAACATTCTCTCCAAACAAATTGATTGAATGTTAGAT